GCCGGGGTTATGTCCGCGCATGTGGGTTGCGATAACCCACATGCCCCATCCACCAACGCCATGCAGCTTGCCGGGGGCAAGTATGCGCATGTGGGTTGCGGTAACCCACATGCCCCATCCGCCAACGTCATGCGGCTTGCGGGGGGCAAGTCCGCGCATGTGGGTTGAGAAAACCCACATGCCCCATCCGCCAACGCAATGCGGCTTGCCAGGGGCAAGTCCACGCATGTGGGTTGCGATAACCCACATGCCCCATCCACCAACGCCATGCAGCTTGCTGGGGGCAAGTATGCGCATGTGGGTTGCGGTAACCCACATGCCCCATCCGCCAACGTCATGCGGCTTGCGGGGGGCAAGTCCGCGCATGTGGGTTGAGAAAACCCACATGCCCCATCCGCCAACGCAATGCGGCTTGCCAGGGGCAAGTCCATGCATGTAGGTTGCGATAACCCACACGCCCCATCCTCCAACACCATGAAGCTTTCCGGGGGGATGTCTGCGCATGTGGGTTGCGATAACCAACATGCCCCATCCGCCAACGCCATGCGACTTGCCGGGGGCAAGTAGAAGCGCCGGTTCTCTTCTTTCAGTATTGAAGTGTGGAAACTGCCAGACGTCCTTCCTCTTCGACCTACTCGAGCTCGGGCTACGCCTTCTTCTACAACGCCCGCCGGCGGGGATATGCTTATGACTCCTGAAGCGGCCCAGCTCGGTGTGACGTAGTCTGTTGCGGCTCCCTCGGAACCTGTGGCCGGATCTGGTATTGTCGAGAGCGTAGACCCCTCCGATCTCCATCTCACTATCAATTCGGGCTCCGGATTTTCTAGCTCGGCTGCAGCCTCTGCAGCCCCATAGACATAGGCATAGATCGCATATCGCTTTTTTTTTTTTTTTGTAATTCCGAATATTTCACCTACATTGATAATCTAGTTAGTGCCATTATCGTTTTTTTTTTATTTTTTTCCGTTCAACTTGGCGGGGGCAAGTCTGCGCATGTGGGTTGGGATTACCCACATGCCCCATCCGCCAATGCCATGCAGCTTGCCGGGGGCTAGTCCGCGCATGTGGGTTGCGATATCCCACATACCCAATCCGCCAACGCCATGCGCCTTGCCGGGAGCAAGTCCGTGCATGTGGGTTGCGATAACCCACTTGCCCCATCCGCCAATGCAATGCGGCTTGCCGGGGGAAGTCCGCGCATGTAGGTTGAGATAACCCACATGCCCCATCCGCCAATGCCATGCGACTTGCCGGGGGAAGTCCGCGCATGTGGGTTGAGATAACCCACATGCCCCATCCGCCAACGCCATGCGGCCTTCTGGGGGCAAGTCCGTGCATGTGGGTTGCGATAACCCACATACCCCATCCGCCAACGCCATGCGGCTTGCCGGGGGCAAGTAGAAGCGCTGGTTCTCTTCTTTCTGTATTGAAGTGTGGAAACTGCCAGACGTCCTTCCTCTTCGACCTACTCGAGCTCGGGCTACGCCTTCTTCTACAACGCCCGCCGGCGGGGATGTGCTTATGACTCCCGAAGCGGCCCAGCACAGTGTGACGTCGTCGTTGCGGCTCCCTTGGAACCTGTGACCGGATCTGGTATTTTCGGGAGCGTAGACCCCTCCGATCTCCATCACACTATCAATTCGGGCTCCGGATTTTCTAGCTCGGCTGCCGCCTCTGCAGCCCCATAGACTTAAGCATAGATCGCAGCTCGTTTTTTTTTTTTCTTTTTGTAATTCCGGATATTTCGCCAACATTGATAATCTAGTTACTGCTTTTCTTTTTCTTTTTTTTTTCCATGTAACTTGTCGGGGCCAAGTCCACGCATGTAGGTTGCAATAACCCACATGCCCCATCCGCCAACGCCAAGCAGTATGCCGGGGCAAGTCTGCGCATGTGGGTTGCGATAACTCACATGCCCCATCTGCCAACGCCATGCAGCTTGCCGGGGGCAAGTCCGCGCATGTGGGTTGCGATAACCCAAATCTCTCATCCGCCAACGCCATGCGGCTTGCCGGGGTTATGTCCGCGCATGTGGGTTGCGATAACCCACATGCCCCATCCACCAACGCCATGCAGCTTGCCGGGGGCAAGTATGCGCATGTGGGTTGCGGTAACCCACATGCCCCATCCGCCAACGTCATGCGGCTTGCGGGGGGCAAGTCCGCGCATGTGGGTTGAGAAAACCCACATGCCCCATCCGCCAACGCAATGCGGCTTGCCAGGGGCAAGTCCACGCATGTGGGTTGCGATAACCCACACGCCCCATCCTCAACACCATGAAGCTTTCCGGGGGCATGTCTGCGCATGTGGGTTGCGATAACCAACATGCCCCATCCGCCAACGCCATGCGACTTGCCGGGGGCAAGTAGAAGCGCCGGTTCTCTTCTTTCAGTATTGAAGTGTGGAAACTGCCAGACGTCCTTCCTCTTCGACCTACTCGAGCTCGGGCTACGCCTTCTTCTACAACGCCCGCCGGCGGGGATATGCTTATGACTCCTGAAGCGGCCCAGCTCGGTGTGACGTAGTCTGTTGCGGCTCCCTCGGAACCTGTGGCCGGATCTGGTATTGTCGAGAGCGTAGACCCCTCCGATCTCCATCTCACTATCAATTCGGGCTCCGGATTTTCTAGCTCGGCTGCAGCCTCTGCAGCCCCATAGACATAGGCATAGATCGCATATCGCTTTTTTTTTTTTTTGTAATTCCGAATATTTCACCTACATTGATAATCTAGTTAGTGCCATTGTCGTTTTTTTTTTATTTTTTTTCCGTTCAACTTGGCGGGGGCAAGTATGCGCATGTGGGTTGGGATAACCCACATGCCCCATCCGCCAATGCCATGCGGCTTTCTGGGGGCAAGTCCGTGCATGTGGGTTGCGATAACCCACATACCCCATCCGCCAACGCCATGCGGCTTGCCGGGGGCATGTAGAAGCGCCGGTTCTCTTCTTTCAGTATTGAAGTGTGGAAACTACCAGACGTCCTTCCTCTTCGACCTACTCGAGCTCGGGCTACGCCTTCTTCTACAACGCCCGCCGGCGGGGATGTGCTTATGACTCCCGAAGCGGCCCAGCACAGTGGGACGTCGTCGTTGCGGCTCCCTTGGAACCTGTGTCCGGATCTGGTATTTTCGGGAGCGTAGACCCCTCCGATCTCCATCACACTATCAATTCGGGCTCCGGATTTTCTAGCTCGGCTGCCGCCTCTGCAGCCCCATAGACTTAAGCATAGATCGCAGCTCGTTTTTTTTTTTTCTTTTTGTAATTCCGGATATTTCGCCAACATTGATAATCTAGTTAGTGCTTTTCTTTTTCTTTTTTTTTTTCCATGTAACTTGTCGGGGCCAAGTCCACGCATGTAGGTTGCAATAACCCACATGCCCCATCCGCCAACGCCAAGCAGTATGCCGGGGCAAGTCTGCGCATGTGGGTTGCGATAACTCACATGCCCCATCTGCCAACGCCATGCAGCTTGCCGGGGGCAAGTCCGCGCATGTGGGTTGCGATAACCCAAATCTCTCATCCGCCAACGCCATGCGGCTTGCCGGGGTTAAGTCCGCGCATGTGGGTTGCGATAACCCACATGCCCCATCCGCCAACGCCATGCAGCTTGCTGGGGGCAAGTATGCGCATGTGGGTTGCGGTAACCCACATGCCCCATCCGCCAACGTCATGCGGCTTGCGGGGGCCAAGTCCGCGCATGTGGGTTGAGAAAACCCACATGCCCCATCCGCCAACGCAATGCGGCTTGCCAGGGGCAAGTCCACGCATGTGGGTTGCGATAACCCACACGCCCCATCCTCCAACACCATGAAGCTTTCCGGGGGCATGTCTGCGCATGTGGGTTGCGATAACCAACATGCCCCATCCGCCAACGCCATGCGACTTGCCGGGGGCAAGTAGAAGCGCCGGTTCTCTTCTTTCAGTATTGAAGTGTGGAAACTGCCAGACGTTCTTCCTCTTCGACCTACTCGAGCTCGGGCTACGCCTTCTTCTACAACGCCCGCCGGCGGGGATGTGCTTATAACTCCCGAAGCGGCCCAGCTCGGTGTGACATCGACTGTTGCGGCTCCCTCGGAACCAGTGACCGGATCTGGTATTGTCGGGAGCGTTGACCCCTCCGATCTCCATCTCACTATCAATTCGGGATCTGTATTTTCTAGCTCGGCTGTCGCCTCTGCAGCCTCCTAGACTTAGGCACAGATCGCAGCTCCTTTTTTTTTTTTTTTTGTAATTCCGGATATTTCGCCAACATTGATAATCTAGTTAGTGCTATTCTCGTTTTTTTTTTTTGCCATGCAACTTGCCGGGTGCAAGTCCGCGCGTGTGGGTTGCGATAACCCACATGCCCCATCCGCCAACGCCAAGCAGTATGTCGGGGCAAGTTTGCGCATGTGGGTTGCGATAACTCACATGCCCCATCCGCCAACGCCATGCAGCTTTCCGGGGGCAAGTCCGCGCATGTGGGTTGCGATAACCCAAATGCCTCATCCGCCAACGCCATGCGGCAGACTTGCCTCATCCGCCATGGTTGCGATAATGGCCGCGGGGCGGCTTCGGGGCTAGGACCACATTGGCCAGCCATGCTGGGTACATTGCCTTCCGTATGTGCCCTATTGCTAGGAGCATGTCTACCTCAGACTTCACGAATGCCCTCCTCTCGGCCGACAACTGTCATCTTTTTTGCTTATCGGGCTTAAAACTATGGTATACCGCCAGCCTGTGTGATATGATAGAGCGGTCGATCCCGGGCATGTCCTCGGGACCCCATGCAAATACCATTGAGTATTCGCGTAGGACGGCTATGATCTGTTCCTGCTGTCTTGGGGCAAGCCCCTTGCCTATCCTGACGCATTTGTCAGGTCGACTTGGGTCAAGGGGGATCTCCTCCAACTCCGCGGCTGGTTCGGATCCTGCCTTCTTCTCCCTCTCAACCTCCTTCTCTACTGTATGGACAGGTAATTCTTCCGCCAACATTCTTTCGTACGCCGTCTTATAGCACTTTCAGGCAAGGTGCTGATCACCCCATACCGTCCCCACTCCCCCAGGGGTGTGGAATTTCAAACATAAATGCTCCATTGAAATAAGTCCGCCCAACCCTGCCAGCCCAGGCCTCCCTAAGATGAGGTTATGGGCGCATACTATCCTGACCACAAGGAATTGCATGTCCACTTTTCTCACGTGCGGGGGGCTGCCGATCTCCACGGGGAGCACTATCGACCCCTCTATCTCTATGGTGTCTCCAGTGAAACCAGCCAGTGGCGTCCTCACTGGTCGGAGCTGATCCTCGCTCAGCCCTAACTTTACGAAGACGTCATGATACATCACGTTGACACTGCTCCCCGTGTCCACAAGCACACGCATGACGCAGACCCCGTTGACCATCATGGCGACTACGAGCGCGTCCTTCGAGGTAGTCTCCCTTGCTGGCAAGTCGTTGTCAAAAAACCAAATCGGTTCCCGACGGGGCCTTTTCAACTGGGGGTGTTCGTCCACTGCACATACATAACTGCCTCCATCTTCCCTCGGGGCCCCTCCTCCAAAGATGACATTGAACACTGGGCGCTTTCCCGGGCCTTCCCTAAAGTCAGTCGAGTTTTCCTTAGCCTCCCCTGCAGGCCCAACCGTCAAGCGCCTAGCGCTTCTCGCAGCCAGCCGCTCCCAGTCTATGAAATTCGTCAACTTTCCTGCTTGTATGAGGATCTCTAACTCTTTTCTCCATGCCTAACAGTCATTGGTGGTGTGGCCGTAGCGGCAGTGAAATTTGCAATATCTCGTTGTGTCTGCGCCCGGCGGGATCGGGTTGGGACCAAATGTTTTCACTAACTGACACTCCTCCGCATAAGCTAAGATATCGCTAGGTGGGGCGATCCACGGGGCCGTCCGCGCCGCCGGGGGTGCTGACGTCGTCGCCCGCGCCGGGACAGGCGCTGGCGGCGCCCACGGCAACGGGGGGGCTCGTGAACCCCCCGTAGGCCTCCCTCTTCCCCCGGAGCTAACCTTCCTATCCTCCAGACCCTCCTGCAAGTAATTAGTCCGCTTCTTGGGGTGTGGTGGTTCCTCGAGCTGCGGCTTCTTGCTACTGTTGTGTTCTTCTAGACGCTTCATGCGGTTGGCCTCTTCAGCTTCGGCATACCGGTCTGCCTTCATCATCAAGGTCGCGTACGACCCGGGGGCCTTGCGGCGGAGGCTCTTGCATAGTTCCCCGGCACGGAGGGCTGCGATGAACATGACCATCGCGGACCGGTCATCCATGTCCTCTCCTTCGGCTTCCTCCTTCCTCCACCGCGCAAGGAACTCGGTAAGGGTTTCATCCTCCCCTTGCTTGACGCTAGCGAGATGCGTGAAATGCTTCTTGCGCCTCCTCCCTCTCAGGAAGTCGGTAATGAACCCGGTGGCCAGATCTTGGAACGAGCCCAGCGAGCCGCCTTTCAGGTTCGTGAACAATCGCTGCGCCCCCCCTGACAACGTAGAGAAGAACGCGCAACACATCAAGGCGTCCGATGACCCCATGGGCATCATAGCCGCCTGGTATGTCAGGACGTGCTCCTGGGGATCGCCTGTGCCGTCATACCTCCTCATGTCAAGGGCTTTAAAGTTGGGGGAAGGGGTTCGTTCATGATATTGGGGGTGAAGGGCGGGGTGAGGGAAATCCGGGGAATCATGGCGTGAGCGCCATGTTCCTTCCACCGCACTAACTCATCTATCTTGGTGTTAATCGCGTCTAGCCACTCGGTCGGGGGGTTGACCCGAGCCACCGGCCCCGGGGGGCGATATGCGCTTTCGCCTTCGGTTTCATCAAGACCAACCTCGCGGGCGTCAGCCCTCCACGACCCATGGCCACGTGGCACCACGATTGGGCCCACCGGGGGCTGCCCAGAGTGAATAACGTTGGCTCGCTCGTCGTCCCCGCATCTCCCGTCCTCGGCGCGAATCGAGGCGGGCGCCTCTGACACCTCGCGGTGGCCGGTGTCTCGTCCGTCCCCGCTACGCAGGGGGGTCAAGCGGGCGCTCTCCTGATGGGTTGACCATCTCGACGTACCTCGGAATTCTGTTAGAGTGGTAGAAACTACTAAGACAGACTGCGCCTCCGACACCTCGCGGTGGCCGGTGTCTCGTCCGTCCCCGCTACGCGGGGGGGGGGGGGGGGAGGGGGGCGTCAAGTGGGCGCTCTCCTGATGGGTTGACCATCTCGACGTACCTCGGAATTCTGTTAGAGTGGTAGAGACTACTAACACGGACTAATCGTAGCGGTCCCCACAGACGGTGCCAATGATGGTTTTATTGGGATAGAGTCCACCATAAACTGGGTACAGAAGATACAGAACGGGGGTAGAGCGCTAGGCCCAAAATCATCGGTACAAAAGCCCGAGGTACAGGCCTAGAATGGCGGCCCAAATACACAGAATAAAGCCCAAAGGATGGGCTATAGCTAACAATGCTACTACAGAAAGCAAAAGTCGAACTCAGGTGACTAGATTGCGAGTATGAGATCAAGACCACTAGACTGTAGTGCTTGTCGTGTTTGAGTTTCCCTTAGCTAAGGATCTAGGACCCCTATTTATAGCATACCCCCCTCCTTCCTTGGCGTCCACGTGTCCCACATTGCCACTCCCCACTCCGCTTGTTTGTCGCCATCTACGTCACGTTCTCCGCCTTTCCAGGATTCTCGTGCCTTTGCCACCTTGCTCACACCGCCCCCGCCCCACCATGCTCGGCGCACCCGCCCGCCCCCTAGCATGCGGGTGCCGCCCGACACCCTGGCGCGCCGGAGCGTCGCAGCTGCGCTCCGGGTGCGCCGCGGCCGGCCTGGGCCAGCACCCCGGTCGGCGCCTCTTTCAGCCACCAGCGCCGGTCCCCTGCCCGGGGCCGGCTATGGCCACCCCAGCGTGCCGCGGCGCTAGGGCCACGCTGGGCCGCACTGCGGTCGAGCTGGGGTCGGCACCCTTGTCCGGCCGCCGGCGCCGGCCAGCGCCGACGGCCCTTCTTGACCCCCCCAGGCCAGTCTCCCTGCTTCCCCCTGTCGGCCCAATAACGTAGGCCCTCCATGCCCATGGCCAACCTCCAATATCCCCATCAATATGTGTGAGGTTGCCCAATAGAAAGATTATAATTTCACAATCAATAACAAGTTAAAATTGGTGAGTATACTAATAATCCTTTATTACTTAAAAGAGTACTAAGCAGAAAGAATGGGGATGTATAGCAATAATAGTCTTTCATTCGATTTACAAGCAATAAAAAGGAAAAGAGTTAATTCCCAAAATGGTCATCCGACTATGATTTTTTCTCAATTTGGTTTCTTGACTTTTAATTGCATTTAAAGTGGTCCTCTGATTATTGAATTTTAAGTCAAAATGGTCCTCCATTAGCTTTGGTGTTAAGTGAGTGTTAAAATGAAGGGCAAAAGGGACAATTTATATTGTTTGTTGTTTAGCCCTTTGACCAACCCATTTTTAAAAAAAACGTGACCAGCCTATGTCTTCTCAGCGAAACAATTACCTTAAAAATGTCTAAATTAAACAATAAACATATTTTCTCCTTCTTCCCAACGAAACGATTCTACCAAATTGCGACCGACATGAAACAATAAACCTATTTTCCCATTTTAAAAACTGCCCTTTCAATAATAATATTCTCCATCATCAATTGAAAATGAAATGAAAATTGGGTAAAAATATCATAGCATCTGATATTTTAATTGGCTAATTGACTAAAAATAAAAAAGAAATAATTGACTGAAAATGAATATGATATTACTAATTGACTGAAAATATAAAAGGAAATAAATATTAATAGTTGACTGCAAATAAAAAATGATCCATAATTGACTAATATGAAAAAAAAATGGCTAGATCACTGCATTTTAATTAAAAATGGAAGGGAAACTAAAATTGAACAGAAATATTTCAATAATAATATTCTACATCATAAATAGTAAATGCATATTTTAAACAATAGTAAAGGTAAATTAAAAATGGAACGGAAATATTTCATTAATAATATTGTACATCATCAATTAAAAATGGAACAGAAATTAGGTAAAAATATCACTGCATATGATATTCTAATTGACTAAAAATAAAAAAGAATAATAAGCTGAAAATGAATCTGATATTACTAATTCACTTTAAATATAAAAGGATCGCTAATTGACTAATATTTTACCATTCACCCATCCTGATCGATTGAAGGTGTTAGCTCTAGACGATGATGGACAAGATTGTGTTGCTACTACCAATGTCGTCTACAAAAATGTTTCAATAATGTGTAAATAAAATCGTTGATATTATGTTTTTTTAAATAAAAAAATTGATATATATATATATATATATATATATATATATATATATATATATATATATATATATATATATATATATATATATATATATTCCATACAAATGAATTAAAATAGAAATTCATTCATATAACTGAGTTGCTAGAGAACGAGCACATTTGCCTAATTTATTAAAAAAATACTAAACAATGATAAATAAAATCTCCAAAGTTACAGCACCGTATGTGTGTACATCTACACATTAGCTATTAATTTGAGTAATTATTTGCTTAAATTCAAGCAATGATAACATCAAAACACATAAATGATCCAAACTGTATCTTCACCTGCATTATATAATATTTGATGTTCTAATTTAAATAATTATATATCGATCTAAATATTTTTAATATATTACAACAAATCCATTTCGTGCATCGCACGGGCGCAAATACTAATTACTAATTATAATTATAAAGAGTGGATACACACATACAGTACTACTTTACATTTAAATACATGCCTAACATTTTAATAAATTCATGGAATAGTTGGAAAAGTACAATAATATAATCTCATTAGTCAAATTTTCTTACGGATCTTGATATATACTCCGTAATTAATTACACTATGGCCCGTGAGGTTTAACCCAATCTCATTTGATCTCCGGTTTTAAAATACTTTCTCAAACATTTTTAACCAAAAGAATCGAAGTCTTCACCATCGAGGTTTAAACTTATGACCATCAAATTAAAATGGTAATTGAGATGTCATCACATTACATGGTAATTAGCAATTGCATTTGATCTCTACTATATTAAAATAAAACAGGTTCTCTTTTTTCTTTGATTGGAAAATATCTGTATAATAAAAAGAAGGAAAATTTCAAAAAATATATATAATTTATGCCCCTCACAAATATGTCAATTATCAATGTCACTCTTAAACTATTAGTGGTGTATCTGATGCCCCTCAATTTTCAAAACGTGATATATATTGCCCCTCCCCTAATAGGAAGAAGGGGGAACATTGTTGTTGGCAGAAGAGAACAAACGAAGAAAGAAAAATGTAGGAAAAAAATGTCATCTTTGAATAGGTAAAACATCGAATAACCACATTTATATACTAATAATTCAGGAGAAGGGCAACATATAACATGTTTAGAAAATTGATGAGCAACATTTATATGCACTAATAATTCAGTGGTGACATTGATAATTGATATATATTTGTGAGTTACATAAATTATAATTTTTCCTAAAAAGAATTAATGAATACTTTATAGGTATTATACCAAAGAATTCTAGTAAAATAAAATTTAAGATTTATGGAAATTAGGCGTAATTTTTAAATTTTGAAAACATCTAAATTTATTTTGCTTTTATTTTTTGTGTTTTTTTTTTGACAAACAACATATTTATTTTCACTTGTTATATTTTTCAATCAATTACAATATTATAATTTTAAATTCTTACATCTACTATACTAATAAGATCCCAAGAGAGTTAGGCCTATAATGGGTAGAAAAAATGGCGGTCAAATTTTTTAATCAAATGAATGGCTCAGATTGATCAGATTTTAATTTTTCCTTAAGATTTTCGAATTTATCCCTAATGAATATGATTATCGCTAACTTTTCCGTTAAATATTATCTTTTCCGTTAATTTCTGTTACTTTACCGTTAACTTACTCATTGAATTCAATAAAAAAGGTCTTAGATTCTAAACACATCCCAATCAAAGTTGGCATAATTAGTACTATATTTTACTCTTATTAAATTAAAAATAATAATTTAGTAGCTACAACAAAAAATAATACATATGCATTTCTTTAATTTAGAATTATGTGTCTACAATGTCTTTATTCAAACAAATTATTCATTATCAATAAATTAAATAAGAGAAATAATTTCATTAGTTATATTGTATTTATTTTTCTCCAATATAAAAATTCATCAATTGATTTATTCACTACATTGTCTATTGTCTTTTTTTGTGCACTATTTTTTACGCGCATTGCGCGATTAGGATAATGCCCAGTGTTTTTTTTTTTAAATAAGTACTTTAAAGTATATCAAGGCAAGATTATGTTGAAATTGTTCATGCATAGATAATTGAATGTTAAATTTGTATATTTAAATAGGCAATTCTAAGTTTACAAATGCAAGATAATATAGTCAAGATTGATTATAATTGTCAATGAACACTACTGGAAATTATGGAATTTCTGACCACCTGAAAGTGATCTTAAATTAAGTTAATACCAAAAAGTGGTCGGAAATAGCAACAAAGATTTTTCCGGA